AAAAAAACTGTTTATATATAAACTTTAAATTAAACTGGCTAAACGGTCATTTCATCGAGTTAATGAAAATTCAAATCGGACCACCAATAAGGAACAATCTCGGTGTTTTTCCGACTTTGAATCCCTTAAATCAATTTCCTTCTCACGCAACAACCCAAAAGTCAAGTCACCGAATTCTTTTTATTTTTATTTTTTTATCAAGAGTTTTTTTTTTTTACAATGAAAGATAATAATTATAATTATTTTTTATTTTTGAATACACTTCGTTTGTATGTCATATGATTTTAAAATATTTTATTTTTAATATAAAAATAATTATTAAATTATTTAAATTGTTAACATAAAAAAATTTACTTGCACAATTACTTTTTTTTTTCAAATTATTAACTCAAATCTATTCTTAAAGTGTCGACAATGTCTTTTGTCTACTAATTAAGGGGTTTTTTTTTTTTTTCTTCTGAAAATAGGCAATGAAAACTGATTAAGCAGTCAAGAAAACACACTTTTAAGGTTATTGGTTTCACTCTAATGGATAGTAATTTTTTTTTTCTAAATTTGCATATATTTCTGCACTACTATATATATTATTTTAATTTTTCATAAATTTTTGTATTATATTAAAGTGGTTGAATGCGTGCGGTCTACATTTGTACTTTTGTTGTATTTTACATTATAAACAAAGTCTCCTTTAAAAGTACATTCAAAATTTAAAAAGTCTACTTTAATTGTTATTTGTCTGTTTGCAATTTAAATTTATTTTAAATTTTCAATGATGGCAATTTTTTTTAATTTGTACTTTTAAAGCAAGATTAACAATATAATTAATATGTTTTTTGACATTAATTAATCTAAAAATAATAAAAAATAAGATTAATTTTATCATTAATATTACATAAATTATTTTAATTATACAATTAATTAAATAAAAGTTAAGTTTTATTTTTTCAGTAATAATTAATACTCAAAGAGTACTATTAGTATTTACCCTAAACACAAATGTTAAAAAGGGAAAAAAACTCCATGTTAAAAAAAAAAAAGGGGAAAAAAACTCAAGTCGAATTTACTTATCATTTTGATCCTTTTGCTTGTAATTTTAAATACTGTTTTTCAAAACATAGGAATAGAAAATAAAATTAGTATTTTTTTTTATAAGTCAAAATTTTATTTTGAAGTATAAAAAATATTTCAATTTATGTATATCAAAATAACTAACAAAAATTTGATCGAATTAGTATTTATTAACTTAAAATTTTTAATTTTGAGTTAAAATTAAAAATTTAAACTTCTATAATACTAAATAATTAACTCTATAATATACAAAAAAAAAAAATCCAATAAGTTACATTTTACAAGTTCATAGCAGAAAAAAAAAAAAACCGCTTATTAAATACTGGAACAATTAATTAAGTACTCCATAAAAAATTTCAAGTATAATTATATTTTGTAAAAAATTTATTTACATAGGTTTAAATGACAATTAAATGGATCAGATGTAATAATAAAATCTTTCAAATATATATTGATATTAAATTAATGATGTAAAAAGAATCCAATTATAGGTGAATTCCTTTTCAATAATTTGTTTCAATGACATTTCAATACACAAAGGTTTTTGTTTTGAATCCTTTTCCCTAAAATCTTCGGAGAGGAAAAATGCCAAAAAATAAAAAACAATTAAAAAAGAGAAAAAATCAGCTGAAAAATTAGCATTTTAAGAACTCTAACCTTGTTTATAAAAACAGAGGACTGAAGGAAAATGGAGGCGTAGGTTAAAGCTGCTAACAGCCTGGGTTGATACACTACGGTGATGCTAGGAGTACTGTGCGCGCGACCGAAGCCTTGGATCCTCAGCTCGCTGTTCGTCCACCAGGGCTGCGTGGCACACTATCTGGACAGCCGGCTGGTGCAGAGTCCAATACGTGTTGCTGCCAATCAGCGCCGCCGCCACCACTGCACTGCCTGTGGTGTTAGCGGCTCCGTTGGTGGCGCGGCATCAATATGGCATGCAATTTTGCCATCAAGCGGATCGGAAGGAGGTCGGCACGAGCTGTGGAGGAAGAGGGTGGAGAGGAAAGGGGAGGGTTCGTGGAATGTAGCTTGGGATGCCAGACCAGCTCGGTGGCTCCACCGCTCCGATTCTGCTTGGCTTCTATTCGGAGTCTGCGCTTGCCTCGCGCCAATGATTGAATTAGTTGATCAGAACACAGAGGCCGCAGTATCTGGTGATGAAAAAATCGAGAATCGCGGTTGTGAGTCGAATTGTTCCAATGATTTGAGCGTTGTTGAGAAGAATCCAAGCTCTTCTGCAGATTACAAGGTTAAAGGTTAGTTTTGGTTAATTAATCAAAAATTGATTTTCAATTTGTACGGTTTCATTGATTGAATTTATTCTCACTTCAGGAGTGCTACCTGATGGTCGATGCCTTTTCAGAGCCATATCTCACAGCGCTTGCTTGAGGAAAGGCGAAGAAGTGCCGGATGAAAACCGTGAGACGGAACTCGCAGATGAATTAAGAGCTCAAGTAAGTCAGATAATCAGCTATATTTGCAGATGAATTCCCTGTTTGTTAATTAATATTTGGGATGGCTTTCAATTTCAATTTTCTAGGTTGTTAATGAGCTTTCCATGAGGAGAGAAGAAACTGAATGGTAAGTATTCCCTTTCAAATTTCATTTGCGTTGAAATATCATGGTTGTTATTGAGTGTAGTTATTTTATGATGCGTTTAGGTTCATTGAAGGTGATTTTGATGCCTATGTCAAGAAAATTCAACAACCGTATGTTTGGGGTGGTGAACCTGAATTGCTGATGGCCTGTCATGTTTTGAAGTGAGTTTTATGGTTATTTGTCAATTGAACTTAATCTTGTTAATGAGGTTTTTGTTGATTCTGGATGAATATTGATATGACTAGAACTTATTGAGTTGTCAAATTGGCGTATATTTTCTTAAGAACCATGAGGAGACATTTTTTCTCATGAATTATTGATTCTTTTTCTGTTGCTAACATGTGAATTTGCCTATCTAGTGAGTCATAGGTTCGGAGACTCTGTTTGATTGTAATTAAGGGTGCATTTGTATGTTTATCTAACTTGTTGATGTGCCCTATGTAAACGGTTGGAGTGGTGATCTATCCAATTTTGTCAATGCAAAAGAAGAAATTTTTTTCTTGTGCAATTTCTGAAAAACTTCATTGGTAAAAGTTGTACTGTGAATTTGAATTCCAATTTTCAATGCTTTTATTTATAATCTATTTACTTTCCTATGACATGGCTTATGCATTTAACATATTTTTCTATTCAATGGATCCAGGACTACAATTTCTGTTTACATGATACATGGAACATCTGGAAATTTGGTGAACATAGCAAACTATGGTGAAGAGTACCATAAGGACCAAGAGAATCCCATTAACTTGCTATTTCATGGGTATGGTCACTACGACATCTTGGAATCTTTGCCAAACAGGAGTTGTGAAAAAGTGAATACCTAGGATTTACTATTTAGGGATGGTAATATGATTTATTAACAAATGGTAATAATACTATCATCATTTTTTTTTCTTTCCTGTGGATGAGTTCCAGTCAAACAGGAACCTTTTTGTTAATTTGTAGTTGATAGTTTCATGGCAGCCAATACAACTCCGGCAATAAGCCCTTTGAAATTTTGCAGTTCCCTTTATTATTCTTGTGGCATTTGAAACTCAAATATATACGCCAAATTGAACAATCATTTTTGTTCTTGTTATAGTTTTTTCTGTAAGAACAGGAATGTTATTTTCGCCCTTTGCTCATTATCTTTGTAAATTTGAAATTTCATTTTCCTCTTTTCAGCTTTTGTGTTGAATATGCTGGAGTTTGTATGTATTTTCTTTCGTTCTAAATAGAAAGAATTAGTCTTTAGCTTGAAGGGAGAAGATTTGTAGATCAAGGAATTTGGTCTTTGGGAAATTTATTATGTTATCTTAATCTCCTGTATTGTGAATGTGAATATGCTCAATCTATCACCTACATTACTCTGCACATGTCTACATAAGATGTCTACCTATCTATGGCATGGTTATTGCTCTTGTATCAAATATCTGTACATATTCATTAATTCATTATTATTAGCAATATGAAAACGTCTGCATATGTTATTAGTATCTAATAAGCTTTCCATGAATAAGTTTGCTTTGCAAGAAGGGTCAAGATTTGAATTCTGTTATCAATGATCTACTCACATACTCTGTTTCATCCTTTTGTCCTTTTGTCCTCTGTCCTCTAAATTTTTTTTTTTAATTCTGATATGTCATTTTTCCGTCGCATGTAATACACTCACTAGATTAGATTTGTAATGAATGTTGTGGGAAATTTATTTGCTTCCATTTCCTTGTGAATATGCCCTTATTTGTTGCATCTTTCTTCTTGAAATACCTTTAGCTTTTCTTTTACACTTCTGTTTAGCAATCTATACATGCTAAACCTGTAGTTCAAAATGTATGCGGTATTGAAGTAAAAGTTTCAAGGTGTGTACTTGTTGATGCTGGAGGATAGATGGCTACATGAAACCTAAAATTGTTATTGAAGTTACTTTGCACTTGGGTACCTACTGAGATGTATACCCTATATATGACATGGTTATTCCGTCATATTAGATTTCTATTTATATACGTTTGTTATTATTAGTCGTATGGAAAATGTCTATATGCATTATGAGTTTTCCATGATCAAGTTTCCTTTAGAAGAAAGTTCAAGATTTGGATTTTTTTCTCTTCTTATAAATGATCTATTCACAAACACACTTGATCTACCTTCCTTCTGAACTCTGAGATTTAACTTAATTGTGGCATTTATATTTCTGTTTCAGTTCATAGACTCTCAAGGATTAGCATTGTTAACAACTGGAATCTGTCTTTAAAATGTTGCAGACTAGTAAATTCTTCATTCTCAACCCAAGATCATGTGAATTACAGGTGAGTGTCAGGGTAGGATGAATATTTAAAGTAGAAACCGCTCGTGTTTTGTCCTGTCAAAATAAAAAAAAAAAATAATAATAATAAAAAAAGAAGCATGATCGGATTATTTGCATGTTTGATGTATGCATGTAGGTCATGTAATGTATATGATATTCATTGCTTTTTTATAGGTAAGGTGTCGATTTAATTAAGCTGTTGTTGGTTTTTCCCCTAAATATTTATTCATTTTTTGTACTGAATTTGGACACATCCCGTTTTTCATCACAAAGCCACATGGGAATGGATCGATGACAAACCCAGGTGATGCAGCAAAAGCAGAATTAGCTATCCAATTGCAAATTCCTTTTATAAACACGTGAATGAATTGGATGGTCGAATTACCAGCAAAAATGATATATAACCGAAGATTAATATTAAATAGCAGTACAAGATAGCAGTACAAGGGGTGCTTTTGCGCTTTACAAACTTGTTACATTAAAAGCCCACGCAACAGGAAAATACTGGATTAGCTACATAAAGGACTAAATGTACATAACCATGTAACTAGCACTTAACTCATTCCGTTAGCTGGACTAGAGAAAGCAGCCCTTGGGTTTTTTACAAACTTGTTACATTAAAAGCCCACGTAACAGGAAAACACTGGATGAGCTACATAAAGGACTAAATGTACATAACCATGTAACTAGCACTTAACTCATTCCGTTAGCTGGACTAGAGAAAGTAGCCCTTGGGTTTTTTAACCATGAATCCTCGGATAATCCTGGCCAAAATGTGTTCTAATCCAATGAAAGGACCTGAATTTTATCAACTCCAGTACCTCTATGGCTCTATTTGAGATTCCTCTTCGTCCCCGAATACCTTTTAGTTTCTCCACAACCAAATTGAACAGACAGCAAAGAACCAGATCAACCTCCATGCTTCTTGCCCCTTTCCTCTATCTGCCGGACCCATGTGTTATTGTAGATGAGCCCAACCTTTTTGTTGCTGAGCGGAGAGCACATCCCACCACTCGTGCAATGTTGCCCATTACATCCACGTTGCTTTGCAAGAGAACAAACGATGATCTGTGTTTTCGTCCTGTTCCCCACACAAAGGACAATTGTTAGTGTCGATTTGAACTCCCTTTTTGGCCAATTTTAGCTTCGTTGGTAGCCTACCTCGTAGTGCTTCCCAGGCAAAGGTTGACAACTTCAGTGGAATCCTCTTATCCAAAATAAGTTTGTATTTCTCCTTGTCTTGGGTTGCATTTTCCTGGCACAACACCTTGTATTGACTGAGCAGAATAGACTCCATCCTTGTCATAGTTCCATGTCCAGCGATCTTCCATGTTCTGTTTAGGCACATCATCAACAATATGATTGACTATTTATAATTAATATTGTGCCATTGTAAATTTACAATTATGGCCTATTATTATATAATTGAGAGTCACCAATAATATTGTATATATTCATTTTTTAATACCATATTATGATTGAAAACTCACAAATTACAAGTCATAAAGGATTTAAGATGCATGACTAAGGAAGAATTGATATTCTTTTGAATCGTACGCTGCTGAAATAAATGAACTACAAGAATGGAGTCCGTTTCCAGAATAAGCTGTCTGTATCCTGAGCTTCAAGCTATATCCGGTGCATGTTTGACTGCCCAATGCTCTGTTTGCAGAGCACGAAAAATTTCAATCTTAGCACAGAACCCCTGTGGCCATTCACCATTATGGTTTCTAAAAACCCCAAGGCAAGCTTCCCCTGACCATCTTGTCTTGGTCCTTTTGAAATGTTTTCTTCGTTTTCATTTTGGGTAGTACTTTGTCTGTAATTTACTAATGAAAAGTTGAATTCTTAATTGTAGGTATACAATAGCAAATAATTTTCCTCTTTTTTAAACTTCTTGTCACCGACCTCAATACTTCTGTTAAAAAATGTGGACTTTTGTAAAAAAAAAACGTCCAGATTATATTTATTACAAAATGCGAAAAAAGCCATAATGTGAAATGGTCATAAAGTATCCACTCTATGCAATTGCCTACAAATCTGAACGAATGATGTAGGGATAAAAAGCCATGCCTTTGCAATTGCAAGATCGGTCGACTATGCTTTAATTAAAGAGAAAAGGTCAAAAGGAAAATCTACTTTAGATTTTTTATTTTTTAAAAGAAAGACTTATAACGTGTACCTTGCAGCCTGCATTCTTTATTTTTGTAGATTTGACGATAAAGTGTATAATAAGGAGATAATAATTTTTTTTAGTTAATTTTAAAAATTATATTTATTAGTAGATAAATGCCATTTCATAAACCAAGTATAGAGTTTAATTATTGAATTTCAATACCTAAGAAAATTAAAATGCATCAAGTTTATGTATGGATGCACTCTTAAAACTGTCAATGGAAGAATTAATTGTGAAATGTACAAAAAATAGTCCAAAACACTATAATCATTTATTTATTTTTTAATTCCCTTCTTAACTATCTTTTCACCCATACTAA